TTGGGCTGAGGAGGACTCACTATATGCTTGCATAATGGGGATGATACATGATGCATGAAGTCCAGACACCACGCTAAAGCATTTCTACTTGTATGCAGTCCATGTATGTATGTGGAAGAGTTAGAGCTAGAGACTCTGTTAAAAGAGAGTCAAGTAGCATGGATTAAGCATTTTGTACTTTTTGCTACACACACTCATTAAATTAGCTATCAAAAAGGGGACATTGCATAAACTTCTATTGTATATATAAAAGAAAGCAATGTAGTTATTTATGTATTTCTTACTGTTTAATTAATTAAACCAAATGCATTCTCTTTGTCAGGAAAGTATGTAACCTTCATGTGAAGAGAAAACTATCAAAAACAAAGAATTTCATTTGAGTTCACAATTCAATCTTAATTGGAAGAAAACCCATCAAAAGTGTGTAAACACTGTTCACAACTGAATTAAGTTCAGCCAAAGTATTATTTTTGAAGTGTAAAGTAGTCTTTGCATGACCGTAGATCAGATTTTAGACAGATTATTTACTTATGTCAAATAGATGTCAGGAGGTTTTATAATTTGGGTGAATATTTTAGTTTTAGCCTTTTGGCAGCATTTTTGCTGTTCTCAAGGGCACTCGGAGTGCCATGCTGCAACATCATGTGCCAAGCTAAAACCAAACTGGCCACTGGCCCCTCACTCTCACGCTATCATATTTATCTCTCTAACAAATCCAACAGAGCCTTTACACCAGAGCAATCTCTCAGCCGAAGTATCAGAGCTTGCTATGAGCTTATCTGAATCTAATCTATCTTGGCAATGTAAATGTAGCTGAGTACTTAGAGTTACCTAATGTAACCTTCACTGCTCTTCCCCCATGTCCAATCACACTCTCTCTCACTCGCTCATACTCTGACCACCTTGCTGATAATGCAGTTAAATTAAAAATCCATTCTTAGACAAAAGCCTAACTTTACTATACACCCTTTTGCCTACGAACAGTGCATTTTCCAGGTCATTTAATATGTTTTGAGAAACCCACCAACTGTAACTCAGTTCAGAATAAATTTGATGATATAAAGAAAATACTGTCAATCAAGATGAATCAACACAGAGACCACCCCACTCTATACAAGGATTATTTAGACACCGTAATACTCTAATAGAGTTTTGATTTCTGTTTCTAACAAGTATATGGGTAGGATGGATGAAAGTCACGTAAGCAATTTTTTTTTATTCCACACATAAACTAGAGCAAAAAGCTCATGTAAACAGCAAAATAAAGGAGTCAGCCCAGCCTTTTATAGTTACTATACAATATGTAAAAAGAAGTATGTCAAATGAGTGGTATGTCTAAATATGTGGTATTCAAAAACAGTAGACCAAAAAAGGTCAAACTTTACTAACCCATAAAGCTGCAATTCAACTGTAAATCATAAGACAATGCCAACATGCCAGTGTGGTCAGATTGTAGTTAATCACTGAAAAATAAAAATGGCGTAGAAGCAACTTTAAATCAGAAATTGCTAGTAAATTTCACAAACAATTACAAGGAAATGACAAGAAACACATTGTATTAAATCTAAAAATTGTGAAAAATTTAATTAGTATTTTATTGTAAAGAATACTATAATAATCTTTGTTTTATTTACAACTTCCAAAAATATTTTACAGCATACCCCACAATATAATATAATATAATATAATATAATATAATATAATATAATATAATATAATATAATATAATATAATATAATATAATATAATTTCACTTAATAGAACATAGGCTTTTAAAAGTAGAGAAACTAAAGTCTACTACAAACTCTGAAAGTATGTAGGTCCATTTGCGTTTCAAATATCTTCTGCACTTATTTATTTGTATTCTTCATGTTCATGTATTGATCTTTAATTCTCATGCTGCTGCAGCAGTAAATAAAGAGCAGTTCTGCTTTCTCATTTTTAATATTGTTTCTACCACAAAAGTTTTGGATGTAGCTACTATAAGCTGACGAGGAGCTGAGGGTGTGTTCAGGGTTTGTCTCCCAGCAGTTGTTCAGAAAGCAAATGAAAGACCATTTCAATTTATTTCGGTCTAAAAATGAATCATTTTGACCCTCTGGGGAAAGAGTTTGTTTACTCAAACACAAAGAGTGAAAATAAATAGCTAGTCATGTTGTCTGCTTTCATAAAAATACAATTTCATATGCTGAAGTGTAAAGCAGCTTTAAAGACATTTTGTCTGGAAATTATTATTGCTATTCCTACTTCAAAAACACCATCAAAGGACCAGGTGCTGCTCTGAACAACAGATCTTACATCTTGTCTTGACAGCCATGCCAAGGATTAGCCAGATACTAATGAGAGGACATGGCATTGGATTCATAGCACTAATATACTATATATAGCTGAGAGTTTGAGATGAATTTATTCACATGAATGGAAGAAAGGAGAGATCTTGGAGGGCATCAGGTGTTTGACACCCCAGACTGCCTTGGGCAAATGACCAAATCAATAATTGATCAGCTCTTGATCTGTCAATCATAGCAGAAACCTGTGGTTAACGTCACAGCCAAGTTAGACTGCTGGATTATATGGATCAGAACCAAATCCAGCTCATCAATGAATTTTATCCAGCCCTCCAAGTGATCTAGATTAGATCATAGTGATGTCTCTCATATCAGAGCAATTTCAGAAGCAATCAGCAGTCTACAATTAGTGCTTTTTGGTACATTCGGACTCAGACACAGCTTAGATATCCTAATTTTCTAAACACAAAATAACATAAGCACACATATTCAAATATAGAATGATGAGTGACAGAAATTGATACAGTGACATGTCAGCCAATGCACAAGCTCAATATAGGCTATATTTAAATAATATATTTTATGTTTAAAACAAATCAAATAAAACTATACAGTAAGAAGAATGGGGTAATAAAAAGATAATAAAAAGAGACTAAAAGCCATTTATGTTCAGAGTTGGCAATTTCCAGCTATAAAATGTGGGTGTGTCCAGTGATGTGACAAGCTGACATTATGCAAATGACCAAACAACCAATGGGAGTGAATCAAAATCCCTTTTAAGGAAAGTCTGTTCACTCTTTGGCCATATTTGCAATGCCTACAGACAGCTACTTTGGGCATCCACCAAGACCAAGTCATATCTATTTGAATGGGGAAATCTCAAAAACTGCTTGTCACACTCACATTTAAATACCATGTTTCAAATCAGCAACATCTAACATGAACAGTGACTGGCAATTGGCACTTTTATTTAGAAGCCGAGACGTATTCTGCCATATTTAATCTTGCACTTTCTCCCATTCATATTAATATGAGTTGAATTGTCTTGGTATATATGTAGTCTTTAAGTCAAATCAGTGAAGCACATGATTTGCTGCCTGTGGGATAGCATAGTCAAATGTATAAAAATATATAATACATATATTAAAATCAAACATAAATCAGCCAGATTATATGTCTTAAAGGGACCCTCATGAATACAGTCAAGTGTTCGAATGGGAATGTGTTCCTGTGAGACTATTCTGAAGCCCTGACAGAAGTAAGCGCTCTGCCTCAGTCAGGGTTTAATTGATCGGTCACATAATGCGGACCCTCTGTACGTGACTGGTCCTCGCTCATGGAGACAAAGAAGGGGAGACGTGAGGAAATGGGACGGCTCGTTAAAGCTTTATTGTGTCTCTTGGGAAAGGAAAAACCCATTGTCGGCGTCTCACTGTGTTGGTCACTAAGATCCCCTGCTGCAATAGTTAGTCAATAAATATTCAATTAAACTTTCTTGCTATGTTGTTGCTGTCCCGCTGTCAGCTCAGCTTATTCAAGTGGATTTTTTTTTCCATGCCCACAGAATGGATATTGATATATGTAGATATTTATCTTCAATTTCATGTTGATAAGATGGGAAACATGCCAATAATACAAAAAAAAAATGTGCAGACACAAAAGCATCAACTTGAGTCTATAGGTTTTCCAAGGTTACAAGAGCACTGAACAACATCTTCTGCATGATAAACACACAGTGAAATACTCAATGAACAATTTCAAAATCATGTTGTTAATCAGTATTTTTGCTGAAAATTCAGCTTTGCCATCACAGGAATACATTGTATAAAATGTAATATATTTAATATATTAAAATAGAAAATAGAAATATTTTTTGATCAACTAAATGCAGTCTTGGTCTGCATGAGAGACTTCTTTTAAAAACAATCAATCAATCAATCAATCAATCAATTAAATCAATCTTACCAAGTCCAAAGTTTTGAACAGATATCCTGCTACAGTTGCCTGATTTTGAGTGGTTCTACAGTTGCCAAATTTTGAGTGGTAGTAAGAAAGTTGTGAGAGTCTGAGTGGCCTGATCAACGTCCAGCTGTTTTTGGAGATTCCCCTCCCTCTGCCCCAATCAGCCTGATGCAGTAATTATTGCTTGTATCTGTTGGTGTGGAGGCAGATAAAGCCCAATGTTTTGGGATGCACAGTAGAGAAAATGTTATTGAAGTAGCTGCTGACAGGCTGCTTAATTCACACAGCTCCTCTCATCTCTTCTTGAATTCTTTCTTATTTGCTGCTTTTTCCTCCCTGTGGTAAACCCTGTAATATAATTTCACCCCTTTTGTCTCGCCTTTTTCTTTATTTTGTTTTCTTGTTTTAGTGTAATTTGACTCCTTAGTGAGTGTCGTGGTGTCATGACAAATTTCAGAACCAACTGTTTTGAGTTTTGGATTTTTCTTTTGTAACCAAACAGTTTATGCCAATGGGGTATGAAACATACCCTCTGTGAAACAAAAGAGACACAATTCGATTCACGAAAAGTATGTATTACAAAGCATACATTTACTGTGAAATAAATAAACATATGGCAAAAGCAAATAATAAGTATCCTGTACTCCTGTAGGCTACATACTGTATGTGACTTTGTTTCCTAATTGCTGAGAAAAATAATCGCACACAAGTGATTTCAAATAATAAACAGTCATGATACCCTGGACATAGAACTATAGTTCAAAGCCTCTTGCCACAACTGGCAATTAATAAAACAGAAATTTCAATACTTTTGAGAAGGTTCTGTTGACTTTTCAAACAGTCTTTTTTTACACAGCAAGCTACAGTAAATAAAAATGTTGTCATGATTAATCTCACTAATATTTCCCTGAGTTCACTTTAAGATACCACAATTACAATAGACAAAAGAAGATGCAAATGCATTGTGAATTTAAACTGATGTTTCTAATAACAAGCCCACACTGAGATGTGAGATTATATCTCATCTGGGTTCAATTAAAGAACAATGGGCATCACAAACAAATGAAGCCTGAGGCAGGACAAATAGTCAATATATGAAAATAATAAAAAGAATGACAGCACATTACTGTAAACTAGACAACACTGACAGTAATTCAGATTTAAGAACGGAAAGGCAAAGTAATGACACCGTCTTTTTTATTCAATTCAGTACAATTCAAGTTTATTTGCATAGCACTTTTCACGATGCAAATTGGTGCAAAGCAGCTTTACAGAAAATTAAAGATTCTACATTACAGTATATTTAGTAATAGCTTATCAGTGGTGACTGTCTCAAGTTTATGTCCATTATAGCAAAATTTGGTAGTTTTGTATGTTGTTTGAGGGTTAGCATCTTAATAAGAGGTTTCTTAATAAAAGGATTAATAACCGCCAGCTTGAATGGTTTTGGGATGTGACCTAGAGATAACGACGAGTTAATAATATTGAGAAGCGGTTCTTCTGCTACAGGTAACAACTCTTTCAGTAATTTAGTGGGTACAGCATCTTATAAACATGTTGTTTTAGATGCAATGCTAAGTTTATTTAGATCTTCCAGTCCTATAGTTGTAAAGCACTGCAGTTTTTCTTTGGGTGCAATTAATGAAGCTGAATTACAAGACGCTGTCGATTCTACATTTGTTATTGTATTTCTGATGCTATCTATTTTATCAGTGAAGAAATTCATAAAGTCATCACTACCAAACTGTGAGGGAATATTTGGTTTAGGTGGCATCTGATTGTTTGTTAATCTAGCCACTGTGCTAAATAAAAACCTTTGATTGTGTTGGTTATATTCTATGAGTTTGCGGACATGCTCAGCCCTGGCAGTTTTTAGAGCCTGTCTACAGCTGTACATACTGTTCCTCTTCAGGAACTCGAGCTGCGTCGAGAAACGCTAGGGGAACGCCGTTCAGCGTGACGGGCTCTGAATTTCGTGTGTAATCAGACCAATAGATGGGCGAGACGTCACGGCGGGTGACGTAATGACCAGGAGGCTATAAAAGCACGTGCGGTGAGACCAGCGTCAGCTTTTTGTCATTCAGCAAGCGCTCTGTGTGTGTGTCGTTCTGATATCTGTCTGTGAGTCATATTTGGTGTTGTCTGTCCCGTAGGGTTAGAAATAAAAGATACAAGTATGTCTAAAGCACATGGCAAGTCACGTCATTTGACTATGGGCGAAGGCAGCCAGCGTTTCAAACCGTGTGTTCCTCCCTGTCCGCGTTTCATTTCGGGGGCGGATACACACAGTTTGTGCGTTGTCTGCCTGGGAGCGGAGCATGCTGAGTCAGCTCTTGAGAGAGCTGACTGCCCGCATTGCGAGCGTCTCCCGATGCATGTTCTCCGCTCTCGCAAGGCACTCTTTGCGGAGGGTGCCTTCACAAGTGTTCCCCGCGGTGCGGGTCCCGCTTCCGCCGAGGCGGAGCGGCGATTACGCTCGTGGGGTTCACAGCTGGAACTGGCGGAGGGAATGGAGACGGGCGAGTCCCTATCTTCTTCCTCACCCGCCAGATCCAGCGCTCGCTCACCGGGTTCGGAAGCCCGTTCTCGTTCCCTCGAGGAACTAGGGTTACATACGTAACCTGAGGCGTTTTTCCATGCAATTCAAAAAACCTCCAAGTTAGTTTTCCTCCATTTGCATTCAAGATTATGAGTTTCTTTCTTGAGACAATGGGTATTGCTGTTGTACCATGGCACAGTATGTTTTTCTCTAACCTTTTTTTTATTTTTAATGGGGGCAACAGCTTCTAATGTGTTAGAGAAGATAGTGCCCATATTGCTAGTCATTTTGTCTAGTTCATATACAGAGTTCTGGCATGAAACTCTAGACTGCGCAGTCCGATAGGTCTAGCTCAATCTGACCTAGCGACATCATTGTCACATGGCAGCTGATTGGTTCTCTCCTGTATCGGTAGCCAATGAGCTCGCTGCTCAATATTCAAATACCTGGCTTTTGTTTGCTGTAGCAGTTGGCAGCGCACTTCAGAGCAGCCTAAATCAACATAAGTGAATGCTCTTTTAATCCATATTGCTGCGTATATTTGCGTGGTCTGCCTAATTGAATACAAAATGAGCAACTGTAAACAATTTTAAACTAAGTGTCATGTTAGCAGTTTGCATTGTATGCAGCAGTGAAATATTAAGCATATCAGCAGCAGTATTTTAGCATGTGCTTATACAGCTGTAGCAAATGGCAGTTTAAAGCTTGTAATCACTCTGAGGACACGTTAATAGTAACAAACATGAAAACAGGTTCCCATTCAGTCAGTCACGTTCTACGTTACGTCAGTGACTGACGAATTGGGATCTCGCCCGAGAGCCCAATCACCTTCGAGTGTTAACTAAACAAGCCAATGACAGTTGGCGTGCGTGTTTCGCCACGCACACCC